CAGACAATACACCATTGTCTGCGAGCCTGTGTCAGTCTATCTCAATGGCTCACAGTCACATAGAGATGCTTGTTGGGTGTTTGGAGAGGAAGTGATAATGATACAGTGGAGGGGAAATCATGATCTTTTCCCCTCTTGCACTTATAATAGTGGTAACAGCTGATCATCTTTCACCAGCCGGCAGTAGCCACAGAATGGAGTGAGGGGTGCAGACAAGAGCCACGTCATATGACACCAAATAGGCCTCAAATAACAACATATCATTATTTGCATCATTTGCAATGGAGTCTCAAAATTGCCTGTTCTGCCCAAACAACGACTTTTCCTAATTCTGATAATAGATCACCACCAAGATTCTGGATGGCCACACTAGGGAATCTGGGAGTTTCAGTCATAGAGTAGATAAAATGTATTCGTAAGGATGTGGAGAGCATGATGAGAATGGCGAGCAATGTTTTTGAAAGCATACATGGTGGAAAGTATGTCGTAGAGTAAGTGCAGCACCAATGCAGGTTTGTGAGGTCAGTTCTTTGTCATTACCTCTTATTTAACACCTCTAAGAATAAGGCCTTCCATCCGGTGAGTTTCTATTTTTAATATTCTTTCCATTAAAACATTTTAGTGCTTGAAAACAAAGCTCCCGACTGAGTACAACATGCAGGTTTAGGTTATGAAGCAGTGAAAAGATGATCCCAGAAATCCAAGACCCTCACCAGCAGTTCAAAACATGGACCACGTCTAAGATATTATAGCTATAACACGATTGCTATGAATTAGCAATCCCAACAATTCAGCATTGAACTACTTCCTCAGACACTTTGAAAAAGAAAGAGGATCAAAATGTCTTCGGCCCCAAATGGTGGAAGTTGCGGAAAATATATCAGCTTTCATGCGGCACCCCCTTTTTCTTTACATATGCATTACTGCGGTAGAATTACTCACCCTCTCTGTTCTCATATCCCACCTTACTGTGCTGGTTTGTTTAGTCATTCAAAAAAACATAAATAGTTTTCATCTCATTCACTTTCACATCAAGTGAAGAGTGTAGATCATTTTCACAGCATCTGATGTAAAAACAGAACAATAGTAAGCTAAGTTAAAAATCAAGCCTGAATAATTATGGAAATAAATGTGCAATAAATGTAAAATCTGCCTGTCACTTTCCATTGTCCTGAGAGTTTATCTTGTGTTGAGATAATGAAATCAGTCTCACCATCCCCCTCCTACAAGTAGGTGACCTCCCGTGACCTGGGCAGGACACACACAGAAGAGCGGGGCTGCAGCCACCATTGCTCTGTTGTAGGCTGATAGACAATGATGATGTTACTGCTGAAATGCTTTAGGGAAACTGGGTTTCCGATGAGTCAGTTGTATGAGCGCCGGGGAGTGTGACAAGAGCTCGGCCTCGGCAAGACGGGAAGATCTTTGTACTGTGCGAGTGATGACACATCATGCATCACACAGGGTTCACTGTATACAAGACTGAATGTGTTGAGGTTTTCCTGTCTTTGTAGAGATAATGGAGCTGGCTGTGGTCTTATGTTTCTTCTTCTGCAGTTTAAGAATAACAGAGACGCAGGACAAGGAACAGGGTTATTAGACTTGGATATAGAGTTTTCTTGAGAAAACCTGTTTCTACAACAATTACACATGAGTCCCTGCTTTAGATGAAGGGGGAGAGCCTCCAGTGACTGATGGGCTCAATTGGCCAGTAATGAGCTTGTCAGTTATTTTACCATGCAGCCCTTAAAATGGCTTGTTAAACACACATCAGCCTCCACTCTGTTTTCCAACATCGTGCGAGTGTTGGAGGCCATACGACGGGAAAGTGCTCCTTTGACGGCAGCGCTACAATCCACCCTGACCTCAGGTTTTGTGCCGGGATTTGAGTGTCCACTCATTGCTGCACTGGTGTAAAGATAGAGAAGCGCGGGGTGTGGGGGTGAAACGTGCTAACCCCCCCCCCCACTCCCAAACCTCACCCTCCACTCTCTCCCGTCGGATAGGATGTGAGCCTATTTAACCTCGCGCACTTGAGGGAGAATGAACGGGACGCCTCGACAGGAGTGAAACAACAGGCGTTTGGACCGGCGGAGACAATCCTGTGCCGTCCCACATTTGAAAAGCAAAGGATTCAGTGAAGGGCTCTACAGATGAATGAAAGCGAACGTCTCTCTCTCGTTCTGCCACTTCTCCTGCCTCCTGAAGTGTGGACTGTAAGCGACGGTGGCATCGTTCAACACGTGGCTGCGGGCTCCAGGCCTCACAGTCCTGACACAGATCCAGTCGGATTACTGAGGCTAATTCATTTCTATTTGTTTCAGTGAAAGTTCAAGTGAAAAAAGGTCAAAAACACAAGATGCTCTTGACTGACCTGAAGGAATCTAAAACTGAGGAGTTTTCGATTTCAACTTTATAGATGAGGTGCTGGAGTCAGTTACTCAGGTAGGATATCCCATATTGATATCAAACATCAATCTGGTGCTGACTCAAGTTGAATGAGATATCTCTAACGACATGGGGCACATCTTTTGTTTATAAATCTATGTTATTCTATGTTTTTTAATTAAAAGTTATATTTATTTGTTACATTTTACTGAAGCAATGTTTAAGTCACGCCTGATGTTGCCTCACAAGAAAGAACGATACAGTATCTTCCACACAGTGAAACAAACAGCGAATTAATTAAACACTAGTGTCAACTAGTGCACATAATGTGTAGCTGAGGGGTCAGATATTTTAATTTATTTTTTATATTTATTTTAAGTTAGGACTCCCATCTTATCATACAAGTCAGAGGCTCCGGAGTTTCTCAGGCCTAAAAGTGTCCGGATGAGCCCATGTGAGCAGGAGATCCTCTGGAGGATTCACCGCAAGCGAGCGTGTTGATGACTTGTGCTTAGAATGCAGTTACTTCATTGTAAGCACAAGAAGAACACAGTGATGTTGAGACTTTACACTCGAGCTAAATGTTAATGCACAAAACCATTTTCAGTCAAACACTGTGTGAAGCCTTGCACTGACCCTGAACTGTAGCATGTTCAGCAGCAGGCCAGAGGTTTACACAGTGCTTAAGGGAAAAAGCAGCAGCTCCCCTTCATCCTCAGCCACTAAATTCCAGTGCAAACATCTTTCGACCAATGAGGCTTCTAAAAAGCCTCCACCACACCACACCACACCGAACTCATCCCCATCATGAGGTGACAGGCTGCTGAATGGCTCCACTGGTACAGTGCGGTGTCTTCGCTCAGTGAAATGAGATTTGAGTCGAGGTTGGAGGCATTTTCTCTCTTTTTTTTCCCTCTTCTCCGACTTTTGAGTTTACTCAGCAGGAGTGGGTGGTTGTGGTGGAGGAGGAGGAGGAGGAGGAGGGGATGATGGTGGTGGTGGGGTGCTCCTCCCCCCCTCCTCAGTCACTCAGACTTCACCCTCCTCACCCTCTCCCCAAACCCTCCTCTCTGTCCCTGTACGCTAGACTTCATCGGTATTTGCTTTAAACGCCCCCCCAACTCCCACCTCCTCTCCTCCTCCTTGGCCTATACCCCTCCAACACACACACACACACACACACACACACACACATTCAGTCACTCCTTTTCCAGTATTTGATTCATTACATTTTCTGCCGATTTCCAGAAACGAGGCAGAACTTCAGTGGATCAATAACATGGGGCCTGTGCTCAGAGGCGATGCACACAGCAGCGGCCAGGGTTGTAGAGATGAAAGTGACACGGCCACTATGGGTCTCTGAACGCCGCAGAGCAGAGCCCCCGAGCTGAGGCTGAATGAGCTGAATAGGCTCATCCATTCTTCACTCCTTTCACTCTCCGTAGGCCCTAACTGTTCATTCCTTACAATGGGCAAATGCACTAAAACTTTTTCTTTTTTTTTTCTCATGCAAATCGCCTCAGCCCTGCCTGGGTTTGTCATCATGTGAAGAGGAAAACACACATGCATGTATTCTTACTCAATTAAACTGTTGTGTTATTTGAAACTTAAAACATTCATTATTTTTTTATTTACCTGAATTATTCCTGAACCCCAACGTTTTCCAACTTTTCTAGGTCGGTGTCTCATAAGGAAAAAAAACCCATCATCCAAGGATCTATTTGATTTTCAAATGTGAATTATATGCACCCAAACACACTGTTTGTTTTTCAGTAGGATGTGGGCCAAAACAACTAACAAAAAAAGTGGGACTCATGAGTCTGCACATGAGTTTGGAGATCATTAGCAGCGCCCGTTAGATAGAGGGTAAAAGCCAACAGCAAATATATCTGGTTAAGGGCCCCACAAAGGCGTCAAGTGTTTGTTGACTGCTCAGGCTGGAGAGCAAATAGTAAACTTTGAATCTTTGATCAATAAGTACACATGTCACAGAGAGTGATGAGTCCATGCTGCTACTGACGCTCTGCGCCACAGGTTTTGTTCTTTGCTTAGTAGCATTAAGAGATTAAAAAGTAAAGTGCTCTAAGAGTGAGAAGAGAGAGTGACTGTGTGTGTGTGTGTGTGTGTGTGTGACTGTTAGTGCAGTGTGTGATTGTTTTTCAAGTGTGAAAAGAGAAGAAAGGTGTTTTTCTTGATGTTGGGAATGAAGTTGTGGATTTGGATTTGCAGAGTTGGTTTAATCTTTTTCATCTTTTTATCTTGGTTTCAACCCTGAAATTTCACCAACTTCGCATTTTTTGGGGACTTCAGAGGAAAACACTACTACAGTTTGTGTTCAAGTGTTTAAAGCCGTGTGGGGGGGGTAGGCGCCGAGCATTCTGATCACATCTCTTCCCATATGGATCAAGTTGCAGGACAAGAATTTTTTGGATTCCTGTGTCAGATAAGTTCAAAGTGCAAATGAGATGTGAAGCTGAGCCTCATCTGCTGCCCCGAGCAAGGCACCAGATGAGGAGGAGAGAGAAACACTTTGGCAGAAAAACACATAAACATATACAGCGCATCAATATGAAATCAACTTCTCCCAAACCATCACCACACAATGTCCTTACCTTCTCTGTCTCTCTCCTTTCACGTCTCGGCCGCAGCTCTTCCACTTATTTGTCCGAGGAAAACTTCGCCTGGAGTCGGATTCCCGTAACCTACAACGACTGCGCTGGCACCACCATCGAACGCAAAACGCGCAAACAAGCCTCTCTGGACCTGACGCGAAACTCCATGAACCGACTTCGAAAAACTTTTTAAAACACGCAAAGTTTGCACGGCATTGCCGCCCCTTCGGTCCCGGAGAGAGTCTCAGTGCGCGGCACAAGTCGAGTCTAACTTTTTCTTACAATCCATCTTCTTCCGAGGAGGTGCGCTCTCTTCTTTACGCGCGTCCTCAGCAAACTAACCTCGTGCGTAAAAAGATCTGCGCCGTTGTTGTTTCTTCTCTCGAGTAAAAAGTTTGGGAGTCAGAGCGGTTTGGCTTCACTCGGCAGTTGTTGCAGAGACATGCGGTGGTGTTGAGATCCTCAAGCTGCCGATCTGTTTTCAATCCCCCCCCCCCCTCTTTCTCTGCCCCCTCCACCATCTCCTCCTCTCTCGCCCCCCTCGCTCCCTGGTGAGTTGGGCCATTTGCTGCACCAGATGGGCCGGGCTAACTCGATCCAGCAGTGGGAGACGGCAGGGAAGTTAAGATAAAGTTTCATTTATTGTTCGATTTTCCACGGGCTTTACTGCTGTGGATGTGCTGCTGCGGCCAGTTCTGTCCTCGGTTCACAGTTGAGTTATCAAACATTAGAGCTGGAGGAATCAGTGCTTTTTCTGTTACATGAAGTTCCTTAAAGATAGAAAACGAGAGCTTTAAATGTCGTTTATTTTCCTCCAGTGTTTCTTTGAGTGGGTGGACGTGTAATCAAGACGCTCTCTGATCTCCAACAAAACCAAAGTCACATGTACCAACAAATGCACCCAAAGCCTGTAGTTACAGCCAGGGCTTGTTGATTTAAAAAAAAAAAAGGAGACAATCTTCATAATTCAAGCTTTGTGTGTTCCCATCCAGGCCTTTTCATCTTGGCTGGACCCTACATCTATTATGCTGATCATGTAGATTTCACCTAAACTAACCCTGTGGTATGCAGTATAGTTATTTTGAACGAAAGTAAAGGGAATCAAAAAAATTGTGATGGATTCAGATTTTTGGTAAAAGTGGTAACACTACAATGTATAAGTAAAAGTCCTGAATCCAAGTATATTCAGCAAACTGTGCTCACAGTGTTAAAAGTAACATTGCTCATTGGGCCCAATACTGTGTTTATGCAGCAGGGGATGGTTGAGGATTATATGTTTTATGAATGTTTTATATTTAGCATCTTAACGTGCAAAGTCTAACCAGTAACTATAGGCCTGTTTGCAATATGAATATAGCATATGAGTAGAAAATGTAAACCACGCATCTTCCAATTTATGTACAGTACAGTACAAATTTCACATGACAATATGCAACTCAGGCTTGTTTTAAACGTGTGGGACAGTTCGACTTATTTATAACGGCGTAGTTTATCTTTAGCTGTGTTTTTGTACTTGCTTCTCTGCACAATGTGGCTGGACACTACAGTCAGTGTACAGCTTGACAGCATATTTGATTAAATGCAGTATATGCTATAGTTGTCCAAGTACTAAACGCTGAGTTTGTTAATGGATGTGAGTGGCTGTTTGCAGCGTGCTGTCCAAGCTTTAGTACAGTTTCATCTTGTTTGATATGCACCATAATGACAGAGCTTTAGGGCACAATATTAGTCATAAACAATGTCAGCACCTTAGCTTTTCAACAGCTTTAACAAATTTATGTTATGACAGAACAGTACATTTAATTTAACCAACAATGAAAGTAAAACTCATTGTAGTTTCTCTTTTAGTGTATTATCATTATTTTAAAACAAATTCTACTACATATTATTTAACTTCCTCACGTCAGAATTGTACTTCAAGTATGAAACGAAAAGAACAAGCCTATTTCAGGTGTGTGACGTACGGTATAAATTAAATGTGTAGATTGTATTGCATAGTAATGCTTTCAGCATTGTAGTGTTGCAGGTGGTCAAAGTGGAGATTATTTTAAGTGCTTATAGTATTGTTCTCATAACAAAGCGTTATGTTTTCTGAACTCCTACATAACAAGAGTAGGACTTAAATATTCACAAAAGACAAAAACCCACACACACAAATAAAAACAGACGTTCCAAGAGGCAGTTCAACATCTCAAAGCGACCTGACTGTTGTTCCGTGAGATGTGGAGGAAACTTTCAAGTCTTTGTTGGCTGGTTCTTGAGAGGCTCCACAGCAGAGACGTGAGGCAACAAGAGGTGGATAGGTGGAGAGGATGAAAAGACTCTGAGTCCCTGAAGGATTTTCGGGCCTGGCTGTGCTGCCACCTATTGTCTCTGTCTACATTTGCATCATGCCTGAGTGCCCACTCTCAACTACGGCCTGTGCACATGAGCGGCCTCTGTAGCTCCCTGCGCCTCTGGGCCTGTGCACGGCCTCAAAAGAGGGTGAATGGCAGAGTCAGACTCACTGGCCCTCTCTCCCGTGCTGCTATGGTCCTACAAGCAGGAATTTTAATGAGCTGGCCGAGCTTTTCTGATTGCAATAATAGAGGAATGTCACCGCAAAGTACTGACAGCAAAGCTGTTGGAGAAAGAATCAAAGAGGGAGGAGGAGGAAAAGGAATAAATATGGAGAGGCGAGGAGAAGAGATGAGGATCACAAGAGATTATAAGATTATAGTTTGATCATATTACCTCATACATTCTTCAGTGATCACATCTGCAGCGTGTGATGGTGCAGCTCATTATTTCTTTTATTTGCAACTGTTTATGGGCTGCATACTGTTTATGTGAACTTATCATCGAGTTAGAAGATCATCTGAAACTAATTCTAATGTGATCTTGTGGTTAATCATCCCAATAACTGTCAGTTGATATATGATTTTATAAATAGTTTGCATAGTTTTCATCTGATACTGCCTTGTTCATATCATGAAATTAGAATTAATCTGCGCCAAGAAAAGTCAATTGTTTTGATTTTAAACTATATTTATTAATTATATTCATATTATATAATATTCAATAATTATAAATTATAACATTTTGTTGTAAATTCATTCTTCTTAAGATCCAGTGTTTCAGTTTAAAGAAGCTCTAAATGTTTTCCCCAGCCTCAATGAAAAATAGCTCAATGATTGAAAAGTTTCTTTATTACCATTTTTGATGTGCACATGGGATTAAATGTTTTTCTGTCCAAGAAATAAAGAATAATATCTGCAGTTAACGGGCGAGTGATTTGTTTCCACATAAAAACGATTATATTCTTCCAATACTGCAACACAGTATTCAGTTGATATATACAACTTTTTTTATGTTGTGGACATGAACACAACATAAAAACTGTGGTATTTTTTTGTTACTAGATGAAATATTTAGAAAGCCTTGTCTGCTCACTCTGGCAACAAATGAAGCTTTCAGAGTTTTACATTTTCCTCTGAGGGTTTAACAATCAGTGCACCTCACAAAATCCTTTATCCTGAGACCCCCGATAAAGTCAGAATCACTGCCGTCACATCTGTTTACAGAGTGAATGAGGTAAATGCAGTGAGGGAGGCAGCCCTCTGCTGGAGTACAGAGGAGACTTTGTCCTCTTATCTGTTCGTCACTGAGCTCGCCACAGTCTGTTCACTCCAGCTCCCTGGGCCCTTGACAGCACAAGCAATGTTTTCTCAGGGCAGCAGACTGGTTCACCTTTACCTGTGTCTCACAAGAAACCATGAGAATGTTCAGGTTGTCACGCAGATAAGGATGAAACAAGAGAGTTTAGTGTGATCTGTTAGACTTTTTCATTTCAAACAACAACAATAACAACAATAATGATAATAATAATAACAATAATACAAATTGTTATTATTGTAATCAAGATATACATCTTGAATATTGAAAAAGCTATTAAAAATACCATCTGCTATTATTGTAATCATAAGAATAATAAAACTTTTCCAATCAAAAGTAAAAAGTGCTTTACAAGATGGAATGATCAAAACAATTAAAGAACAATTTTAATTATTAGAAATGATTATTTAAAAGAAGCCAATAATTACTATAAAATAATTGAAATAATCAAATAAATAGAGGATACAAGGATACTATTATATAAGAACAGGTGCTAATAAGGTGTCCTAAAAGATAAATGTAGGTTTAGACCATAACCCTACACAAACGCATTTATACAAAATAAGTATTTGTTGGTGATTTAAAAGAGGATAAGGAGCCAGTCAAACGCCTGGATAGTAGAATGGCTCACAAATCCCTGGAGGATGCGACCTCTTTATATACAGTCTATGGTTGCAACCATGCTGCATTTTGATGAACTTCCAGGTCAGGTCAGTCATTGTGTGCTACACCACACTGATTTAAACAGTTCTTAGAACAAGCAACAGCTTCAGGGCTAAATAGCATCAGTGAAGTAATTTCTTGATCAATGCTGCCCCCTATTGGCCATTTGTTGTTTTGCAGCTTGATGGACATAAAAGGTTCAATCAGTAACTTTTCTCTCATCATTAAAAGTTCCCTCACACAATGACCTCGATTAAAAATGTGTGCTGTGATTAGAGATCTGTAATAGCACACACACACACACACACACACACATTATCATAATCAAATAGTGGCACTATGATACTACTGGTAGTATTGTTATTAAAATTAACAGCAGCACCAACCATTACTATTATGTATCTATGAATCTATTATGAATATGAAGAATAATAAATAAATGCAAATTGTTTATATTTTATGTTGATGTCACTCTGTATAAAGTTAATTGATGGATGAAAACTGTTTATGGCACTATTATATTCTTATGGCATTTAGAAAGCATCGTCACATTGGACTGTTTGCACTGTAGATTCATTTTAATAACTAACGAAAGCACAGGAAATATATAATTACTTTTTAAATCATATCTTGTGATGAAAGACTTCTAATTTTTTAAATTGAAATGTGTGGCATTCAGCTGGACTGGGGTGAATCAATTCCAACCTCAGTGGAGCACAGTGGAAAAATGTCCAGTGACCCACATGTGTGTAGTATTAGTTTCCAGTTTTTAATTTCCAGCTCTCAAGTCATAAATAAATGCTGAAAGTGAAAGAGCAGCATCTAACCCCTGGAGTCAGTGACATTTGGCCTCCGAGTGTCTTGACCACAGTGGTGAGAGCCGTGAGAGTTAAGTTTGTCCTGAGCTCGGAAGCCTCAGTTAGGTGCCTGACCAGACATTTGTTCTGGCTCCACTTTGAGAATCTTCTTTACCAGCATTCTCAAAGTGTCCATCACAAAGGAGCATCCGTCCGGAGGTACGAAAGCTACAAAATAGCCCTATAAACTGAATAGAACTATCTTAGTGGCCATTTCCTTGCCTTGGGTGGTAAATCACAGTGTTTGTTACAGGGAGGTTTACGTTGTTTGTGCACAATCTGCCACCACTTCAAAGCTGTGGGAGGGGAC